GATGTGAGTCTTCTCCATGACTTCACAGTCAGTGGTAAGCAAAAGAACTGAGGTTCAACCTTTCTCCTTGGAAAGCCTTTTATACCGTGCACACACACACACACACACACTCTCTCTCTCTCTCTCTCTCTCTCTCTCTCTCCATCTCTAGGCCTCAGGAACGACCAGGCCGTTCCTGGCCAGCAGGTGGCGCGAGAGTCCTTCTCATGGGTTTCAGATTAAGGAGAGTAATGTGCACATGATGTCCTGGTCCGTCGCACACTAGACAGAGATCTGGATACTGCTCCCTCCCCAGTCTTGCCTCATGACATGCTCTTGCCTGGCTCCTGGACAGCCCACTCAGCACCCCGGGGGGGGGGGCACAGCTCGCGGCTCTGTCACCTGTACCAGGCACCTTACTGGGTGCTTTGTAAATGGCCTTGGTTTTCCTGCTCAGGATCCTGTCCTGCTCTGCCCCAAACCTATCGAAACATCCTGAACCCATAGCGACTGTGCCTGGCAGGCTGCCTGTTAGGTTCAGGATGGAATCTGGGTCAGTGTGCCCAGCTGGGGGCCAGGATGTCAATGCCAAATCTACGGAGCAGGGGCACGGGCGACCCGGCCCTGTGAGCTGGCCAGCAATGGGGACCAAGCTCCCAGATTCCAGGGGTGTATTTTCCCGTCACTCCACGCACTGAAAGACAGTGCCCCAAATCTCCACCTTAACACACATCACCTCAGCACCCCAATTCTGAGAGTCATCCATGAGCATCATAGCACGCCGCCCGGCTGCCCCGGCTGCCAGCGAGCGGCTGTGCGGCGGGACTGGCATTTCTCCAGTGTGAACACCTGTCCCTCGGCGGAGGCACATGAGACCCGCCAGCCCAGCCCAGCCCAGCGGCGACTCTGCTTGTCCAGAACAATCCAGAGCTGTTCATTCATTTGTGCCTTTGCCGGAGACGCAGCAGCCACGGCCGCCCAGCCTTGTGCCCCACGCCACGAGCGTGGGAAGGGATACAGATGCCCCAGACTCTCGGAAGGATCTTTGCACAGGCAGCGGGCGAGGCGTGGTTGGGACCTCGCACCCGGGCTCCATGAGGTTGTGGCCTGCGGCCAGCGGCCTGCGTGCCAAGCCGATCCCTTTGCAGCCACGGACATCAGCTGGGAGAAGGGAGCCTCGTGGGGGGTGGGGAGGGCCAAGGCCCAGAGAGGCACGTGAGTCCCACATCTGGCCCAGCGAGGCCCCCAAGTGAGCCGCGGGCGGTGGCAGCCGCAGGGCGGCCGCTTTCTAAGCACCACTTTCAGACTCAAAGCCTAAAGACTCCATACTTTCTAAAGGGCAGATGGTCATTTAAGGTGTGGGGGGGGACGGCATGGAGACTTGAACTCAGGGACTCGTGCTTTCTAGGCAGACGCGCTGGCATTTGAACCATGCTCACGGCCCTTACTGCTTCAGTTATTTTTCGGGTGAGGTTGAAGGCGGGGTCGGCCTGGACCACAGCGCCCCCATGTGGCGGGGAGGCCACACTATGCACCCATCACACCAGCTCCCAGGGTGACATGGCTCAACCGGTGAACCCGGGCAGAGGGAGGCTGTGCCCCCACCTCTGTGGACCCCCAACACATCAGGCAGACGCCCCACCACCCATCTTGTAACAGACCAGAGGCTCAGAAGCTCAGAGGCGGGAAACGCCCAATCCCTCCTTCAACTGCCACAGGGTCCCCACGAGGCTCCGGGGAGACTCGTCCCTCTGCACCCCGCCCGCTCTCCTGTCCTGGTCTGGCCCTTGTTCTCAGAGGCCGGGGCAGCCGAGGGGCCCGTGTGGACCGCTGAGCAGTCAGGTACCAGCCCAGCACCACCGCCAGCCCGGCCTCAGGCACTAGGGGTGCTATCACCCGAGCTTGGTGGCTGAAGTCACTATTACAACTGCCACTGGGCTTCTGGGAGCCTCAGACTCCAGCCTGACTGGACAGGCCCGGGGGACAGGGAGTCCACGGCCACCAACGGGCCTGGGGCTTTCTCTATGGCTCAGAGAGGCTCTGCCGTGGCCTGCCAGGCTGCTGCATACCCCACAGCTCCCTGGAGGTGATACACAGCCAAGCCCAGCTCCGTCAGGCAGCCCTCTGACCCCGGCACAGACAGGAAACACAATCATTCCCCCCACACACACCCCAGATAAGGTCTTGCTATGCAGCCCAGCTTAGCCTGAAACATGCAATCGTCCTGTCTTTGCCTCCCGATTGCTGAGATTGCAGACACATCCCACCATGCCCAGCCAAGTGTTTAAGGGACAGAAGCACATGGCATTCATGACCAAGCTGAATATACAAGCACAAAACTGTGGCACAAACCCTTTGAACAATGGTGAAACAACACAAATGCCAGAAAGTGGAAACATGGTTTGAATGGACGGTGGGTGGGAGGGCGGATGAATGGAAAAGGGACCGTGGGCCAATACGGTCATCACACTTGCTGTATACATAGGAGAAAGGAAGCGGAAATGATGTGACTGGTGTCAAAGGGACAGGCAGGAAGGGGGGGAAGGACACAAGGGGGCTCTGGCCAAGATGCGCTATTGCCACGCCGACCCCAGTGGAGTCTGCTTAGCATGGGAAACCGTCTATCAGACCATGATAGGGGCTTCAGAGACCTATCTCTGAGTTTTGGGGCTTCACCGAAGTCTACCTCAGAGAATGGGGCTTTACAGAAACCTATCTCCAAGTTTTGGGACTTCACTGAAGTCTACCTCGGAGAATAGGGCTTCTAAGAGGCCTACTCCTGGGAAAAGGCTGGCAAACCCCTGGAAAAGATGTGTTTCTGCCTGTCTTTTCCTCAAAAGAGTGCCTATTAATCTTTTACTGTTTCTACTGCTCTTTGTACTTGCTCATTGTCAGCATTCCCTTATACAAAGCTCTTTCTTAAGAGTGTTGACGACTCCAATATCTGATGAGTGTCTTAAAAATATGACTAACTCACCGGAGTTAAGTGCTACCCTGAAACCCCTCTTATGGAGGCTAGTAGACAAGCCATAAGCAAATATAAAAGTATTGGGGGTTTCACAAAGTCACTTCAGCAGAAGGAATTGTTTGTAAGAGATTTACAAAAAGCTGTAGGCGCGGCTAGAACAGAAGGAATGTATGGCAATTACTGAGATAACTACTTAGGAGAAAGAACTTCCTACTACTCTCTCATTTACTAAGAGACTTGCTAGATCTAAGTCTCCTTGGTGCTTATTATTAAAGAAGGAACAGGAAGGAAAAATCCTATGGGACAATTAAGGCCTCTATAGAAATAAGATAATAGTTAAATGGTGACAAACATCGAAACCCATATTTCTTAGAGATAAGCCGGAAACAAGTGCCTTTCAGGCGACCAGCTGGTGACCACCCAAGAATGAAGCCCTGCAGCAAGATTGTGTAAACTTTTGCCCTTTCAGGCGACCAGCTGGTGACCATCCAAGAACGAAGCCTTGCAGCAAGATTGTGTAACCTTTTGCCCTTTCTTATGGAGACTTTTTGCTATAAAAGTTTGTTATCCTCTGCATTAAATCGCACTCAGCACTCAGCACTCAGCATCCACTCCTCTTGTGTGTGAGTTGTCTGTTTGCCATCTCCCCATCCTATTCCAGGTTCCTCCCCTAGGTGTCCTCCGTCGTCCCGACAGAACCCGGTCCGCGGCACACTATATGTAGTCGGGCACCAGTGGCTCACACCTGAAATCCTAGCTACTCCGGAGGCTGAGATCAGAGGGTTGAGGTTCAAAGCCAGCCAGGGAAAGAATGTCTGTGTGAGACTCTTATCTCCAATGAACCACCAGAAAACCGGAAGTGGCGCTGTGGCTCAAGTGGTCGAGCGCTCGCCTTGAGCTGAAGAGCTGAGGGACAGCGCCTAGGCCCAGAGTTCAAGCAAAAAAAAACCCAAAAAACAAAAAAAATGTTTAAAATGCATCGTGTATGTAGATGGACATATTAAATTGTAACCCCTTAAACCATCCTTTGTAGATTTAAAAATAATAAATTAAAAAAGAAAATGTGCTAGGAAACAGCAGATCAGAGAGTACAGCCAGGCTAGCAAGCAAGGAAGCCCGAGGCAGGAAGAATGGAGGCAAAACCAGGGAACCTGAGCTGTGCAGCCTGGAGGCCGGCAGAGCCCAGACCAGGGCAGCCCCACGGACACTGCGGCCCAGTGCAGGGCAGGGGAAGATGCCCGTCCTCCAGCGGGAGGGGCAGCTGCGCCAGAGCCCACGGGGCAAGAGGCCGCAGCTGGACAAACCAGGCCTGCCGCAGTCCACTGAGCTCCGCTCCCGCTGGCAGAGGGCTTCCGTGCAGTCCGTGATGATGGAATTTGTTCACTGGCTTTTGGGGTGCTGAGGATCCCACCCAGGACAGGACACATGCCAGGCAAGTGCTCTACCACTGAGCCCCAGCCCCGGCCACGCCCCTAGTGACATTAAACGAGACTGAGTAGAATTAGGGCTGCAGGGAGATTGTGTCCTGGGGGTCCTTCTGGCTCTGAGGAGCGACTTCCAGGACATCACCAGTGGAGGCCCCGGTGGCTGGGAGAGTGACCTCACAATGGCGCGTGGGCCACACAGCCCGAGGACACAGAATCCTCTCTGCTGTTGCCCCAGCGGACAGTCTGCCTGTCGCAAGGTCATCTTGCAGCGAAGCCCAGCAAATCGTGTTAACCCCTGGGTTTTGGCCCACACAGATGCCGCTAATGGCTTGTCTGAACCAGAGCGTGTTCTGCCACCTGCATGTCATGAACTAGGAAACTGAGGCCCAGGGTGCTTATCACAGGGCTGCACACTCAGTCTGGCTCAACCTGACACCAAGTGTGCCGGTTTCAGATTTTTCTGCAGTCACCCCTATGCCCTCCTGAGACCAGGCTCACCAGCCTTTAGGGCCTGAGACCCAGAGACCTGCTGGTCTCATGGGAGACCTCAGGTCACAGGTGCCCAGACCTGGGGTTGGGCCTCCTGGAAGGCTGACAGACAGAAAACAGTGGCCTGCAGGACTTACGTGTCTGCAGAACGGCGGTAGTTCTCCGGGCACTGGAAGGATAGGCAGCGGAAGCCGCCCTGGATGTTGAAGCACGTCTCGTTGACAGAGCAGTTGTGGACACCTGTCACACACTCATCAATGTCTGCGGAAGACGCAGAGGCAGCGCAGTGAGCACAGAGGACGCCTCTCCCCCCACCCGGGCTTCATGCGACGAGGCGATGGGACAGGGATCGCGCCATCCTTGCCCTCCACTGGAGCAGCACCCTGGCCAGCTCTTTTAAACGTTGGGGATTTATAGAACAACCACTTATTCATAATGCTTGGTGTGAGGACCTAAGTCCAGTTAGGTGTGTCATTTAAAGAAAGCTCACAGGGCTCAGGGACCAGCCAAGGTCACACATGTGTGTCATGGCCAAGCTTGGAGCCAGGCAGTCCCAGGCAGGCAAGAAGGTGTCAGAGCCCATGAACTAACTGCCCAGAGAGACAGAGATCCACTAACAGTCAGGAGGTTGGGGCCAAGCCACCAGCCCCATGTTGCAGACAGGAAGCCAGGCCTCACAGGGATCCATCTGGGCCTGGCTGCTGGTGCTGTGACAGCTGGGGCTGGGTGAGAACCACATAGCGACTCTTGCCATGGGGCCTGGGGCGCCCTGATGGGGGCCTGGGAGGAGGGACCTCCCTCACAGCCACCCCGGGACAGCCGAACGACGGGGCTTCAGGGGTGTGACTGCCCTGGAGGTATCTGTAAACTTATACCAAAAGTCTGTCGGTGGCAAAAACAACACCCGCCACCGCGCAAGAATGTGTTTCTGCTGCTTCTGGGCAGGACCCCAGGCTGTGGTGAGGGAGCACGGCCAGGAGAAGGGAAGGCAAGGACCCCACCCAGCACGGGAGGCGCTGAGCGGTCCCCCGGGGACACCGTGGCACGGCCTGCCTCTGCTAATTCACCCTCTTCACCACCAGAAATGGCAGGATTTGGTCCTCGGGGCCCCAGCAGCCTCATGGGAGGAGGGGGGCTTCCGTGGAAGGGGCTGGGTGGCCAGCCGCAGCACTCTGCGGCTGCGTGTCACTCTGCGCCTGGTGTGGCCCCGCGCACCGCCACAGTCATTTGCTCTGATACGTAATTAGCGCCCCCTAGTCATCAGATAGTGACCAGCTTGCAGGGACCCAGGGTGTTCTCAGAAATGGGGACCGTGAAAACACAATGGACGCTGGCCCCAGCATTGCGCCTGAACTGGAGACCTTGGCTCTGCTCACCCTCCTAACAGCCACAACTAAGGAAACCCAGGGTCCCGCACCCCAGGCCACACCCAGCCCCAGCCCCGCGACAGAGGCCCCATGACCCGCGCCAAGCCCCAGCCCCTCCACACAGGCCCCGTGACCCGCACGGTTTCCACCCAGGGCCCGGCCCACAGCTGCCTTTGTCCCATGCCTAGCTGGGTGCAGGGCCAAGACAGCCGGCCCCGAGCTGTCAGCCCCGGCTCAGGGCTGCAGGCAGAGGGGACGCTGTGGGGGAAGCCTCCAGCAGACAGGGCCCTGGGTGTGTGAGACCAGCCAGGCCGCTCCAGGCGAGGTCCCCCCGCTCTGAAAGCACCACGGAAGCCCCCGGAAGGTAAGGTGGGGGTGGGGTCAGCCCCGCGCAGCTCACCTTGGCAGTTGCGGCCATTGGGGGCCAGGCGGTAGCCGGAAGCGGGGCAGCTACACTGGAAGCTCCCAGGGACGTTGATGCAGCGGTAGGAACAGATGTGGCCCCCAGTGGGCAGAGCACACTCATCAATGTCTGCAACGGCAGAGCCCAGCCCTCAGCATCTGGGCACTGCCCAGGCCGGAGCCGGCTCCCTAGCCACTGCCCAGGCCGGAGCCGGCTCCCTGGACACTGCCCAGGCCGGAGCAGGCTCCCTGGACACTGCCCAGGCTGGACCCGGGCTCCCTGGACACTGCCCAGGCTAGAGCTGGGCTCCCTGGTCCTGGGTTGCCAGGCTGGGCTGGGAGGCCGCAGCACAGGGAGACTGAACAAAAGCCTCAGGTGTTGGTAACTTCAGACTCCATCATGTTAGAAGGGGAAACTGAGGCTGGGGTGAAACCAGACAGTCATATGGAAAATTTATAGTGGGAAGTGTGTGTGGTAGGAAGAAGATAGAGAATAGAGAACAAGTTGAAAACAATGATAATAATAAACTCCTCACATGAAGATACAGGTTGGGTATCTGTCAAACAAAATGGTTGGCACCAGAAGTGTTTCAGGTGTTTTAAATTCTGGAATCTCTCCATTTACATTATGACATATTTTTGGATATACAGGCAAGTCACACTACAAAATGTCTTTGTTATATGCATTCCGTATACACCACACTGGAGGTGCCCCTATACAGTAATTTTAGGGCCCCCTTGTTTTGACTGTGGCTTGTGCCTGTCATCCTAGCTACTCAGGAGGCTGAGATCTGAGGATCATTGTCCACAGCCAACCCAGGTGGGAAAGCCAGAAGTGGAGCTGTGGCTCAAGTGGTAGAGCACCAGCCTTGAGTATAACGCTCAAGAATAGCACTCAGGCTCTGAACTCGAGCACCAGGACCCGTACTAATGAGGTATAGAATTTTCCACTGTGCAAGCATCCAGTAAGTTCCAGGTGTTGGAACATTCTGGATTTGGAGGTAGGGAAGGCACTGCAGCTAGCTCCTCAGTGCTCTTCAGTTGCCCCTGGGGAGGGGATAGCCCATGCCACCGGAGACCTGGCCAGACCACGAGGCCGGACCCAGAGCCAGGGCCAGGTCTCAGGGATATGGTGACCTCTGAGGCCCTCCTGACCCCAGCCACGTGCTACTGCCAAGCCCAGGGCCTGTGCCTCAAAGTCTCTACCACTGCACACGGATTAAAAGAGGATTAAACTGGGTGTGTTATCACAAAACCGTAATCCAGCAAGACCCCATTTTGAAAACAAGAGGGCTATCTGGTCATGGTTGGCTCACTCCTGTAGTCCTAGCTACTAAGAAAGCTGAGATCTGAGGATCACCGTTCAAAGCCAGCCTGGGCAGACAGATCTGTGAGACTTGTAACTCCAATAGCCAGTAAAAGGCCAGAAGTAGAGCTGTGGTTCAAGTGGCAGAGCACTAGACTTGAGCAAAAAGCCAAGTGAGGGCGTAAGGCCCTGAGTTCAAATCCTAGTATAGCACAAAAAAGCGGGGGGAGGGAGCACGGGTATAGCAGCAGCGGTTGTGCACTTGCCCACACGTGGGAGAGCCTGAGTTCAATCCTCAGAACCAGAAGAAAGTCGAGGACAACGTGAGGGTGGGTGGCTTCCTTCTCCCCGCCCCTCCACTCTGAGGAGAGCCACCACCCCAGCTCCGAGTGTGGAAACCGCAGCTCCGGAGCTCTGCGCCGTGGGGTGAAAGCGCAGCGCGGCGCCGCCCTCCCGCACGCGACAGCCTCACCCTCACAGGTGACCCCGTCCGCATCGCTGAGCTGGTAGCCTCGCCGGCAGTAGCACTGGAAGGAGCCGTACACGTTGGCACACTCCTGGCTGCAGGGCCTGCTGTGGCATTCATTCACGTCTGAGAGAGAGGGAGGTCCCAGGTCACCACCTGAGCTAGGCCGTGGGGGTTCCGGGCTCACAGAGCCAGGCCAGCAGTCCGGGCTGCCCCAGGGTCCTCACCCATGCCATGGGGACAGCGGACAGGTTACCTGTCCCCTTGCTCCAGGATAATACACTGCAGAGAGCTTGGCTGTACTCTGGGTGCAAGACCCCACCCTGCCACAGCCTGCCCCCGGGCAGCCCTCCACTGGACCACAGCCTGCCCAGGGCCACACCCTCCACTGGACCACAGCCTGCCCAGGGCCACGCCCTCCACTGGACCACAGCCTGACCAGGGCCATGTCCTCCACTGGACCACAGCCTGCCCAGGGCCACGCCTTCCACTGGACCACAGCCTGCCCAGGGCCACGCCTTCCACTGGACCACAGCCTGCCCAGGGCCACGCCCTCCACTGGACCACAGCCTGCCCAGGGCCACGCCCTCCACTGGACCACAGCCTGCCCAGGGCCACGCCCTCCACTGGACCACAGCCTGCCCAGGGCCACGCCCTCCACTGGACCACAGCCTGCCCAGGGCCACGCCTTCCACTGGACCACAGCCTGCCCAGGGCCACGCCCTCCACTGGACCACAGCCTGCCCAGGGCCACGCCTCCCACTGGACCACAGCCTGCCCAGGGCCACGCCCTCCACTGGACCACAGCCTGCCCAGGGCCACGCCTTCCACTGGACCACAGCCTGCCCAGGGCCACGCCCTCCACTGGACCCAGCCTGCCCAGGGCCACGCCCTCCACTGGACCACAGCCTGCCCAGGGCCACGCCCTCCACTGGAACACAGCAGGCCCAGGGCCACGCCCTCCACTGGACCACAGCCTGCCCAGGGCCACGCCCTCCACTGGACCACAGCCTGCCCAGGGCCACGCCCTCCACTGGACCACGCCTGCCTCCACTGGACCACAGCCTGCCCAGGGCCACGCCCTCCACTGGACCACAGCCTGCCCAGGCCCACGCCCTCCACTGGACCACAGCCAGCCCAGGGCCACGCCTCCCACTGGACCACAGCCTGCCCAGGGCCACACCCTCCACTGGACCACAGCCTGCCCAGGGCCACGCCCTCCATTGGAACATAGCCTGCCTAGGGCCACGCCCTCCACTGGACCACAGCCTGCCCAGGGCCACGCCCTCCACTGGACCACAGCCTGCCCAGGGCCACGCCCTCCATTGGAACACAGCCTGCCTAGGGCCATGCCCTCCACTGGACCACAGCCTCTAGACCACACCTTCCACTGGACCACAGCCTGCCCAGGGCCACACCTTCCACTGGACCACAGCCTGCCCAGGGCCACGCCCTCCACTGGACCACAGCCTGCCCAGGGCCACGCCCTCCACTGGACCACAGCCTGCCCAGGGCCACGCCCTCCACTGGACCACAGCCTGCCCAGGGCCACGCCTTCCACTGGACCACAGCCTGCCCAGGGCCACGCCCTCCACTGGACCACAGCTTGCCCAGGGCCACGCCCTCCACTGGACCACAGCCTGCCCAGGGCCACGCCTCCACTGGACCACAGCCTGCCCAGGGCCACGCCCTCCACTGGACCACAGCCTGCCCAGGGCCACGCCCTCCAACTGGACCACAGCCTGCCCAGGGCCACGCCCTCCACTGGACCACAGCCTGCCCAGGGCCACGCCTCCATTGGAACACAGCCTGCCCAGGGCCACGCCCTCCATGGACCACAGCCTGCCCAGGGCCACGCCCTCCACTGGACCACAGCCTGCCCAGGGCCACGCCCTCCACTGGACCACAGCCTGCCCAGGGCCACGCCTTCCACTGGACCACAGCCTGCCCAGGGCCACGCCCTCCACTGGACCACAGCCTGCCCAGGGCCACGCCCTCCACTGGACCACAGCCGCCAGGCTCCCACAGTGCCCTCACCAGGAGCCAGGGTCTGGCCCGCTCTCCAGTGGAAATCTGAGCCTGTCCCCGGGCTTTCCCTGTGTAGGTAACAGCACAGGGGCCCAGCCTAGACAACAGACATCCCCGACTGCAAAGCTCTGGGCGCAGACGCCACTCAGTAACCCCGGCTGTCACTCTGCTCCCGTTGCCTGGAGAAGATATTCGCAAATGACAGGTCAAAGCTGGCCCACCACTTGCTTTTGTTAGTAAAGTTTTATTGGGACACAGCCGTACACAAAAATGTTACAGTAGAGTAACAACCAATCATGGCTAGAAGTCTTAAAACAGCTACCACAGAGGCTTATAGAGAAAAGGCTTCCAGTCTTTGGCCTCAAGGCCCTATAGATTTGTTACCTGCTGCTTCTAATGCGAGTGTGTGTGCACACGTGCTTTTTGTCCTGGGGCTTGAACTCAGGGCTTAGGTACTGTCCCTGAGCTTCTTTTGCTCAACATTAGTGCTCTCCACTTGAGCCACAGCTCTACTTCTGGCCTTTTCTGTGAATAATTGGAGATAAGTCTCAGACTTTCCTGCTTAATCTAGCTTCAAACCATGATCCTCAGATCTCAGATGACAGGCATGAGCCGCCGGCACCAGCTGTTTCCAGCTACTTCTGAGCAGGGCGGAAGGGATGTCCATCAGCCCCCCACAAATTTCCTCCTGCTGCCTCTTTGAGTGGGACGAGGCTGCGGGCCTCGGGCCCCGGCCAGGCCCCCTCACCTTCGCAGGCCCCCTCACCTTCGCAGGCCCCCTCACCTTCACAGGCCCCCTCACCTTCACAGGCCCCCTCACCTTCGCAGGCCCCTCACCTTCGCAGGACCGGCCGTCCGGGGAGAGCCGGAAGCCCTCGGAGCAGCCGCAGTGGTAAGAGCCCGGCCCGGCCACAGGCCCCTCACCTTCGCAGGCCCCCTCACCTTCACAGGCCCCCTCACCTTCACAGGCCCCCTCACCTTCGCAGGCCCCTCACCTTCGCAGGACCGGCCGTCCGGGGAGAGCCGGAAGCCCTCGGAGCAGCTGCAGTGGTAGGAGCCTGGCGTGTTCTCGCACTTGTGGCCACACAGGCGCCCGGGGAAGCGCTGACACTCGTTGATGTCTGAAACACAGGGTGTCTCAGGTCCCTTCCTCCCCCTCCTGCAGCCTCATTTCCCAGGAGAGGGGCCAGGGAACTGGTCCCCAGCACACGGTGGGCCCTGCCCACTCCCAGTGTGCCCGTGCCCCGCCCCCCCCCACCGTGGCATGGCCCGAGGGGGAGGGAGCCGCCCACCTTCCCGGGCACCTTCCCGAGCACCTTCCCGGGCACCTTGGGCCATGGCACCTCCCCAGCCTGCCCCCCACCCCTGGCAGGGCAGGTTGGAGGCCAACGTTGAGAAAAGTCACTAACAGTTGCTGTTTGTGGACCCAGGCCGGAGTCTCAGAGACTCTGAGTCTGAGGCCAAGCAGACAGCTGCCGAGAGAGAGGTGACATCCCAAAAGCCAGGCCAGGGTGTGGGGCCAGCAGCAGAGCTGCAGCTAGCAGGGGGGGAGGGTGCTGATGTGGGGGTCTTTGTTCTTGGGTGTCCGGAGCCGATGGCTGAGCGGACATCTTTCCAGTGCTACAGGCCCCGAGCTGCCTGCCCGACCTCCACGTACCCACACACGTCCTGCTGATGCCATCGAAATAGAACCCGGCCTTGCACTCGCACCGGAAGCTGCCGGGGGTGTTCACGCAGCGGTGCCCCGCCCCGCAGGGCTCGGCTGGGGCCGCGCACTCGTCCACATCTTGGCAAAGAGAAAGAGGGAGCTGTGAACAAGGAGCCTGCGAACCCCGGGAAGCCCAGAAGGGCCGGTCACGGAGCACAGGTGCAAGCAGGTGGGCTCCCTGTGTCTTGCGTGAAGTAGCAGGACCTTTGTCCTCCGGATTATAAGGCGCATGAAGCGGGCCGGCTCAGGAGAGCTGAGTCGCAGGCAGGTGTGACACGTTGGGTTTGGCGTGAGCTACATGTGCCAGCCCTGCCACGCCCAGGCCAGACAAGAAAGGCCTGAGTCCAGGGACGGGCTGGGAGGAGATGCAGGGCAGAAGGGACTGGGCGGGGCTGCGAAGCAGACAGAAAAGCGCATGCCAGGCTTGTTTATTAGAGAGAAATACCAACCGACGCAGCGCGTGCCCTCTTCGTTGAGATGGTAGCCGCGGCCACAGTTGGGCGCGCTCTTCCGGCATGTGTACGAGCCCTCCGTGTTGATACACGTCTGCCCCACGGGGCACGGGGCACTGATGCTCAAACACTCATTTATATCTGCAGCGGGAGCAAGCAGAGACGGCGTGCTTAGCCGTGGCAGGCAGCCCAGGCTCCCAGCCTCCCCTTGGCTCGGTACAACCGCAGCAACACCCCTCTCCCCTGGACTGCGTGGCAGCCTCTAACAGCCCTACACACACAGCCTCCAATACCCATCTCTACTCACTCTTTGCCCAGAGACCTCCAACACTGCCAACTGTCACTGAGCCAGAACCCACCCATGGCCACCAGCCTGGCTATCCTGCACGCGTGTCCACCCCAGTGGACAGGGCTGACAACACTCCAGACCCAGAGAAGCTCCAGCCTCCTCTGGTGACTGCCAAGTCCCGCCTGCCCCCAGCCTCACCTGCAGTCCTGAGTCCTAACAAGGGGCTAGCACCCTCCCTGCTCACTGGCAGACCAGCCACTCTGGCCCCGCTGCCAGGGCCCGCCCCTCCCCCAGGTCCCCCAGGCCCCAGCACTGTGAGCACTCTCAGAAAGACACCTTCCTGCCACCCATCTGGGTCCCAGGCCAGGAAGAAAGGGCTGGCCTTCCTGGAGCTTCCGTCCAGAGAGCGCCCTGCCAGCTACGGACCACCCTCCTCGGAGGGCCCAACCCCAGTCCCCCCCTCCCCACAGCACTCAAGCCCCAACCCCAATCCCCCCTCCCCACGGCACTCACACGCGTTCCTCAAACTTTCGTGTGTGGCGTCGCCTTTGAACTCATGGCCAGGCCTCCTTTTTGGTAGTGCTGGGGTTTAAGCTCAGGCCTCATGCTGAGCCGCGCCTCTTCCTTTTCTTGTACTGTGCCCGGCCCATTTCATCTGTCCACCCTAAGTGGGACGTCACCCACCCCTCGCACCCAGCTCCTGCAGTGGAGATGGCGTCTCTCAGGGTTTTCTGCCCGAGCGCCCCGAGCAGCCATGCTCTGAGCTCAGCTTCCCAGGGGCTGGGGGGAGCCACCAGTGCCTGGCCTCTGGGGCCTTCTTCTAGGGAACCAGAACCAGAGAGACTGACTCCTCAGAGGCAGCAGAGCTCAGGTCTGCGTCTAGGGGTCTTGCCTCCCGTCACTGCGAGTGAGGCCCTCGCGTCAAGATCACAACCCTCGGCCAAATCCAGCCCACCCATCACAACCCTCGGCCAAATCCAGCCCACCCATCACAACCCTCGGCCAAATCCAGCCCACCGCCCGCCGCTGACAGAGCCAGGCCTGCTCGCTACTGCAGCTGAGGGGCCACAACTGAGATCAGCTGGCCGAGAGCGTTGACATCCACCCTCTGCCTTTCACAGGCAGAGCGAGGGTCGCTTCCTCAGCGAGAATAAACGCAGTGGTCACGGCGCCTCCAAGTCCTGCATGGCCTCTGCCGGCCTGAGAATGCCACATACCTCAGGCAATAAAGACCGAATGAATGAATGAATGAATGAGTGAGTGGATGAATAAATGGGTGGATGGATAAGTGAGTGAGTAAATGAATGAGAATAGGAGTACATGGATGGATAAATAAGTGGAAGCGAGTAGATGAGTGAGTGGATGGATGAGAACATGCTGAGTGAGCAGATAATGATGAGTGAGCAGGGAATGAATGCACAAATTAACGAAAGGATGAATGAGTGAATGAGTAGAAAATGAATGGATGCGTGAACAGATGAATGAATGAATGAGTGAGTGGGTGGACTGGAGAGGGAGACACAAAGGACGATCACTGTATCATTTCCCCCTCTCAGGTACCGGATGCCCAGCTGTCCAGGTCCCTGTCCACTTGGTTTGACCAGGCGCGCTGATACAACATGGAACCCTTCAATGCATCAGTACCACAAACACCTCACGACCGTGAATACCCACAACCACAAACACCCCACGACCGTGAATACCCACAACCACAAACACCCCACGACCATCAATACCCACAACCACAAACACCCCACGACCATCAATACCCACAACCACAAACACCCCATGACCATCAATACCCACACCCACAAACACCCCAGGACCGTGAATACCCCCAACCACAAACACCCCAAGACCGTGAATACCCCCAACCACAAACACCCCACGACCATCAATACCCATAACCACAAACACCCCACGACCATCAATACCCACAACCACAAACACCCCAGGACCGTGAATACCCACAAACACAAACACCCCACGACCATCAATACCCACAACCACAAACACCCCACGACCATCAATACCCACAACCACAAACACCCCACGACCATCAATACCCACAACCACAAACACCCCAGGACCGTGAATACCCCACGACCGTGAACACCCACAACCACAAACACCCCAGGACCGTGAACACCCCACAACCACAAACACCCCAGGACCGTGAATACCCCACGACCACAAATACCCCAGGACCGTGAATACCCCACAACCACAAACACCCCATGACCACAAATACCCCACGACCACCCCAGGACCACAAACACCCCAGGACCGTGAACACCCCACAACCACAAACACCCCGGGACCGTGAACACCCACAACCACAAACACCCCAGGACCGTGAACACCCCACAACCACAAACACCCCGGGACCGTGAACACCCACAACCACAAACACCCCAGGACCGTGAGCGCCCCAGGAGGACTGGGCCAGTGATCTGTGAGGTCCTGCTCTGCCCCGTCCCTCAGCGTCCTCAGGTGACCAATACCAGAGTTCTGGAAAATTCTCCATTCCCTCAGGGGAAAGCCCCTCCCCCCGCCCCGCCCCTCCTGTGAGCAGGGCTCCTCTGCCCCAGGGCCCACGGTGGGCAGAGGCCTCTGGCTCCCGGAGGGGCCAGCGCAGCGCTCCCCACTACAGCCCAGGTTGATCTGGGGGTGCAGAGCAGGGGGACCAGGCAGGGCTCAGGGGGGAATCTGGGCTGGGGAAAGAGCTACTGTGGCCCTGGGACTTTCTTCTCTGCTATGGTCTCTCCTTGGACATAGTCGCTACCTTAACCTTAAAGAGGGACAGAGCGATCTCTAGCCAGCTCCGCTACCCAAAACAACAAGACGCAGCTGTCCACGGTGCGTAACAGAACAACCCCGAAGGGCGGCTCATCCTGGGCTCCGTGGGGCTTTCCCTGCAACCCTGCTCCCTCGGCCTGGGGGGGGGGGGGCACAGTTCCTGCGCCTCGGCTCCAGCTGCACAGTCTGCACACAGTAGAGAAAATCCAGAGGGGCTGAGACTTGCACACTTTCCTCCTGGGGGAAAACGGGGCTGATGTTGCCGTGAGTCTACATTTCAATGCAGCCTCCTCCACGGAGGGGCCCCGCAGCAGGCCTCAGACGTGAGCTCAGCTGCCTGGGTGCGAGCTACGAGGGGTGGGGGGGCCCGAGGGGGCCGAGGGGGCCGAGGGGGCCGGCCAGGACTGTCCCAAAGGCCACCCCTCCACTAACAGGCAACTTCAGAGCCACACAGTGGCCAGAACAGAGCCGTCTGAGAGACCATTAGCACAAGTTTATCTAGGAAAGATAAGGCAGACATTAGAGGAGGGACAGGGCCACCTCAGGCGGACAGGGCTTCACTAGTGAGCCCTGCAGCTCAGCTTGAGGTGAACTCTCTGATCTCAGAGGTGGGATCTGCTATCCAGATCTGGGTTCAAATGCTGCGAGCAAGCAGAGATGGAGACGGAGAAGCAGAGGCTGGCGCTCGGCCTGAGCTGCCCGCCCGGGAGGCAGGTAGTCATGAGTTCACCGGGTTTCTCTCCGCTCAGGCCGCCTTCCCGACACCACACAATAGCTCTTTAAATTATGGTGAACTATCTATGTAACAAACTGTAACACTAAGCACATCTTATGCTTGCCCAGTCCTACCCAGCTCTCCGTCCGAAGGGGAAATCTGCCCTTCCCCCAGGTGCCGCTGCCATCCGGCTTGCTGTCTTACTGGGTTGTTTTTTTTAATGGTGCCAGTGCTGGGGCTGGAACGCAGGGCATCGTAATTTAGCCCAGCATTCTTGCTCAAGGCTAGTGCTCTACCACTTGAGCCACAGCTCCACTTCTAGCTCTTTGGTAGTTCATTAGAGATAAGAGTCTCGTGGACTTTCCTGCCAGGGCTGACTCTGAACCGTGATCCGCAGATCTCGGCCTCCTGAGTAGCCGGGATGACAGGCGTGAGCCGTCAGTGCCTGCTGAATTCCAAATACTTTTATAAAACAGTTTGAACAGACTAGGCGTTGTGACAGGAGGCGGCGTTGGCCGGGTGTCTCCGGTGTACCTGCCGATTCACAAGGCCTGGCGGGGTCCCGGCCTCCGGCCCGAGCCCTGGCGCCTGGCAGGAAGGAAACTGAAACATGGAGGAAGTCACCTTTCTTAGGCCACCTGCTTCAAAACCAGATGATCTCTGAATCCAAAACCCAAGCTCTACCATCTAGACAGAGAACAACAAACTACTGTTCTTAGACCAAACCCAGCCTGCCACTGGTGTTTATAAATAAAGTTTTACTGAAACACGGTCTCATCTATTTGTTTACACAGAGGCTGTGGCGTCTGAGCGGTGACGCAGAACACAGGGCCTAGCGTGTCTAAAACCCCTGCTGTCTTTCCCTTTACAGAGTCTGCAATCCCTGGTGCGAACTCTTCACCGCCCCTCAGATCCCATAGGCCGGCCCCCGGGATTGGCCCCGGGACCCACGCTGGCTGAGCGCCTTCTTACCGATGCAGCTGCCTAGAGCGTCCTGAATAAAGCCGCCCTTGCACTGCAGCTTGGGTCTGCAACGGAAGGATCCCAGAGTATTCTGACAGATAAAATCGGGGAGGCAGTTATGAATACCACTCTCACACTCGTCAATATCTGGTGCATCATAAAAAAAGGAGATTGTTAGCAAGGGTCCCGGCACAGGCACTTACAGCACTTCAACATCACAAGACAGACTTCTTAAAATTACTGTTATCACTTCAACTCACAACTTAGACTACAACCCAAAACTCAAATAGTGAACCAAACTGTGCCAACTTGCTAAAGACTTAAAGCTCTCTCCCTGAAGCCCACCCACACCAAGACTTTCATGAAGCAATTGCTCTGCTGCATAATATTACCCAGGCATTTTCCTGGCTTCTAGCGTTTTCATTATCTTAGTGACAATGAGCACTCTCTATACTGCTCAATGTCAGTGAAACCCTAGTTACTCCAGAGGATGAGATCTCAAGATGGAAGTCTGAAGCCAGCCCAAGAAGAAAAAGTCTGTGAGATTCTCATCTCCAAGTAACCAGTGAAAGGGCAGAAGTGGAGCTGTGGCTCAAGTGGTTGAACACCAGCCCTGAGTGGAAAAAGCTAAGTGACGGCAGCAGGTTTCTGAGTTCAAGCCTCCGAGCTCACACCTGCGCACACACGCGTGTGTGCACACGCACACACACTACAGAAAAATAAAAACAACTCAAACAAAACCAAATCGGTCTCTCTAATCGTTTCCATCTTGAGTCTTCCTGACAGTCCAATGGTCTCTCAGGACAGGATGCAATCGGCTGCCCAGCCTTGAAGTTCACAGCCATCAAAGGCTCAGACACGTATACTCAGCTGGCCTGGCCCTGGGCTCTGGAGTCCATCAGAACAGAGCAGGTCCGGAGGGTGTGCCGGGCTTTCAGTCCCTCACATAATCCAATGATTAATATTTTTTATACAAGTGGATTCTGTCCTTTTGAGAGGCTCAAAGCTCTGGGTAGAAAACCACGCTCCAAAAGCTCCTCATCGGAGTTTTATCTGCCCAATAACATTTATGGTTTGACAAACAAAGGCTGGAAGCCAGAAATGTTTGCTTTGATGAAGTGGAAGGGGCTTGGCTTTGAACTTCAAGGAAGCCTGAAATCAGATGCCCAGCAACTGTGGTGCAAAAATGGTTGTGTGGAAATTTTCCTTTTATTGGTTGGGTTTTTGTAGAAAACATATGGGAGCACCAAAAATTTATCTTTGGTCTTTTTCTTCTTTTCTCTCTCTCTCTCTTTTCTTTTCTTTCTTTTTTTTTTTCTGTTGGTCGTGTGGCCTGAACTCTGGGCCTGGGCCCTGTCCCTGAGCTCTTCAACTCAAGGCTAGCGCTCTACCACTAAGCCACCTTCCCAGCCCCTTTTTCTTCTTTTCTTTTCATATACTGGGTTTGAACTCAGGGTCTTAAGTTTACTCATCTGGCACTGTACTATGTGAGTCATGCCTCCAGTCCAGCGTTTTGCTGGTTATTTTAGAGATGAAGTCTCATGGGCTTTTTGCTGTGGTTGGCTTCAAACCATGATCATCTGGATCTCAGCCTCCTGAGTAGCTAGAATTATAGATGTGAGCCACCAGCACCTGCCCCTAGTCTCTAAAGCCAAATGTACCAGCATCCTTTGCTTGGTACCATGAGAAAGTGAATCTGCTAATCAGAAATTGAACCCCCCCACCCCCATGCCTGCCTGGGCGGGAGACAGTAGGTACACCACCACCTCTCACAGCAAGGTGGTGCCCCAGGCAGCCACCGGGGGGCAGCGCCGTGGCCCAGCCCCCGCGGCCCCCCCCCCCCCGCACACCCACCCCTCGCGGGCGGAAGGAGGCCGCGCCCACCTTTGCAGTTGTTGTCCTCGGTGAGCTCATAGCCTGTCCCGCAGCTGCTCTCCCGCTGGCAGCGGAAGGAGCCCATCGTATTGATGCAGGTCTCTCCCAGCCGGCAGCTGTGGCTGCCCGTGATGCATTCGTTGGTATCTAGAGATGAGGGTGACACGGGCAAGAACAACAGCGCCTTAGCGTTATCAGCAGGAACCTTCTAGAAGCCAGATGGGGCTGACTTCCCACATCCATCAGGTCCTCAGCTCGGACAGGCAGACAGGCGCTCTGGGGATGGTGAATCAGGACCGCGCCACCAAACCAAGCCCTGAATTTCCACCTATTGCTTCTTGAATAGGCGCTGGTTCTACAGTCATGTGATCTCAAGAATCCCACGGGAGGCAGCATTTCCCTCCCCCATCTCCTGGACTAAGGGAGGGACGGGGTGGGGGGATGTGTGGGGGGAACTGGGGTGGGGGGTGTCTGGGGGGACCCGCCCTGGGATTGGACCCCTGAAATTGGCCCCTAGGTAAGAGCTCTGCCCACTGCAAACTACAGGGGGCGCTGGCAGGCAGTCGGGCTGGCCTCATCCCGGCTGGACCAGCACCTGGGTGGTGCCTGGCGGGGCCACCAGCCACGTGGTTACCTTCACAGGAGACGCCGTCAGCCAGCAGCTGGTAGCCCACAAAGCAGGAGCAGACCACCTCGTCTCCCGTGTCCCGGCATTGCTGCTTGCAGGGTCCGCCACCTAGAACCCAAGCACAAGGACGGTGTCAGGGCGCAGCCCGAGGGCCACCCACCCTCGGAGACCCCGGGCTCGGGCTCTGGCACTGGCACCATGAGCCGCTCAGGCTGCGGCCACGGCCTCCTTCAGCCTGGGTTCCCCGGGCACCCCCGGCACCTACCACCCCAGACACCCACTCTGCATGTGGCCACGAGACGGACACTCTGAATGCAGAAGCTGGGCCAGCCGCTGCCAGGAGTCCACGAGGCCCCTGCAGCTCCCCCGCCCCCGCCACCACCTGTTTTATATCCTGCCTCTCCCAGCCTTGGTGCCACGCTCACCGTCCACCAACCAGGTCATTCTGAGACAAAACTGGCTGCCCACTTAACACCCTAGCCGCAGGGCAAGCCGCAGGGCAAGCCACAGGGCAAGCGGCAGACAGATCTACCCAGCTAGATAGATGCCTGGAAATGTCCACAAAAGAGAAAAAAGGTTTTACTGTAGGACGGATAGAGCTGCAAATGTCTCTGGGAGAGGAAGTGGGTCTGACTGGGGCAGGAGGTGTGGGCCCTAGAGAGGCAAAGGGATGACCCACTCAGACCCTCCGCTGGGGCGTGGGGGGCTGGCCACCGCCCACAAGCTCCCAGGCCCGGGCGGTGGGTGGAGGGAGGCCAAGCCCTGACTGGCCCTTGGACTTTGTTAACCACCAGAGGGCTCCCGGGAGGGTCTCACCTCGGCAGCGGTCATTCAGATAGGGGTCTTCTTGTTCCTCATCGGCATCAGAAACCTTAGCTAAGGGAGAGCAGAGAACAAGTCAGGATGATTCCAGGTGTGTCCTCTTGCAGCTTATAAGAAACTCCTGAGTGACACTGATCAGCACCCATCATTGTACGCATGCTGACTTGATGAACTGAAACTCCTTTGTACAGCAACTCCAGTTTATCATATATATATATATATATATATATATATATATATATCATATATCACATTTTATTTATATATGTGTATATGGAAGAGAGGGTCTGGGAAGGTAGCTTAGAGGTAGAGTGCTGGCCTAGCATGCATGAAGCCCAGGGTTCAATTCCTCAGTACCACATACATAGAAAAAGCTGGAAGTGGCGCTGTGGCTCGGGGGTAGAGTGCTGGTCTTGAGCAAAAGAAGCCTTGAGCAAAAAGCAGCTCAGGGACAGTGCCAGGCCCTGAGTTCAAGCCCCAGGACTGAAAAAAAAAATCACTCTATGAAAGAGAAGATCTGCAGGAATGCCTAGATGTAAAGTTGAAAAGCAGCTCCACATTCCTGTGTGTGTGTGTATGTGCACACGCAGCTCCACATTCGCGTGTGTGTATGTGTGTGTACACACGCAGCTCCACATTTGTGTGTGTGTGTGTGCACACGCAGCTCCACATTCCTGTGTGTGTGCGCACACAGCTCCACATTCGTGTGTGTGTATGTGTGTGTGTGTGTGCGCACGCACATGCACGCGTGTGTCCTGGGGCTTGACCTCAGAGCCTTAAGCACTCTCCTTTAGCTTTTTCTCTCAAAGCTGGCGTTCTAGCACTTGAGCTACAGCCTCACTTCAGGCTTTGTGGTGCTAACTGGAGACTGAAGTCATAAAGACCTCCCTGCCTGGCTGGCTTTGAATCTCAATCCTCTGATCTCAGCCTCCTGAGTAGTGAAGATTGCAGCGTGAGACACAGGCACCAACTCCATATGCACTTTGACCTTGTTTAAAAAAAAATGGTGGGGAACAGAATCTGTGACAGGGTGTAGACACAGTGCCTGGCCCACGTCATCAACTCCCGGCCAAGTGCTGGGCAGCGTCAGAGAATGCGGTGGGGGCCTCACCGGCCCAGACCAGCAGTGCTCACAGCAGGGCCTGCGATGGGCGGCGTACGCCCCGCAGGCTCTAAGCAGGCCCCACTTCTCTCCCTTGGGGCTTGCTCTCAGCTTCCATACTCATTTCACCAGGCATCACTGGTCTGGGTATGATCTGTGACCCTACGCGGCACACAGCCGGCCCACCACAGACGCCAGCGGAGGGAGGAGGCAGCCGGACCCGCAGAGGAGGAAGTCCTCCCAAGGGATCTACAGCACTGCCGCTGTCCAAGGCCAAGGCCGGAATCAAAGCAGATCAAAGAGGAGACTCCGAACATCTGGAGAAAAGCCTGGAGGTGGTTACACCAAGAGACATAAATCACGGAAAATCCTCCCCGATAGGGATGAAGGCTTGGGCTTGTGACTGTGTGTGTGTGATCACTGGTTTCAGGAGCCAAGGAGGGAGCTGGGTGCCGCTCGGCAGTGGAGCTCTGGCCTCTCAGGTGCAAGGCGTGGAGTCAGCGCCCCCCCATACCACAAGAAAACGGAAAACTTCCCAGGAAGAAGAGGGAATGCGAGCCCAATGCCCACTGAGACGCACATCTGAAATCAGAGTAGCACTAAAAATTAAGATTGGAAGCTGGTGCTCACACCTGTAATCCTAGAGATGTAGAAGGCTGAGATCTGAGGACTGTAGTTCAAGGAAAGTCTGTAAGAGACGGGTATGGCTCACGCCTGTCATCCTAGCTACTCGGGAGGCTGAGATCTGAGGTTCAAGGTTCAAAGCCAACCCCAGGCAGGAAAGTCCGGGAGACTCTTATCTCCAATTAACCACAAGAAAACCGGAAGTAGCGCTGTGGCTCAAGTGGTAGAGTGCTAGCCTTGAGCGAAAGAGCTGAGGGACAGCGCCCAGGCCCAGAGTTTAAGCTCCATGACCAACAAAAAAGAAAGGAAGAAAGAAAGAAAGAAAGAAAGAAAGAAAGAAAGAAAGAAAGGAAGGAAGGAAGGAAGGAAGGAAGGAAGGAAGGAAGGAGAGAAGGAAGGAAGGAAAGAAGGAAGGAAGGAGGAAGGAGAGGAAGGGAGGAAGGAAGGAAGAAGTCCTGTGAGACTCTTAACTCCAAGTAAACACCAGAGAGCCAGCACTGCAGATGTGGCTCAAGTGGTAGAGTGCTGACCTTGAGCAAAAACGCCAAGCCAGGGTGAGAGGCCCTGAGTTCAAGCCCTAGTATGGGCACCAAAAAAAAAAAAAAATCAAATGAAAACATGGAAGATGAATTCATGTGAGCCAGGTCCTCACAGCCACGGGCCACGCGGCCCCAAGACAGACGGCCTCCCTTGAAAAGAGGGAGACAAAACTCAGAGGGGAGGAAGGAGGCCAAATCGCCTGAATCTTTCCAGAGTTTTCCATTGTGACACAAGAACCTTTGGTAGGTGAATGAGACCATCAGGAAAGGTCCTGAGCCAAGCCTGAAGCGTTGGCTCTATCTGTGGAGCCCAGAGTACGTTATGTGTGCACACACACACTCACACTCACTCACACTCACACCTGGCTGCTCAAGGCGGGGGGAGGGGGGCTCACCGCTGTCCCCGGGGGCGAAGTCGGCGCTCTCCTGGCCCTTCACGCAGCAGGCGCGGAACACCAGCCCGCACTGGTAGCCCAGCATGAGGCTGGGCTCGCAGCCCTGGCCCGGCGCCTGCGCTGCTCTTCCCAGCAGGCAGCAGTGGCAGCACTTCTGCGAACCGGGGGGAGTCAGGTGAGGGCCGATGGGGTCCCGGGGACCCCTCTCCGGTGCCCCATTCATATCCATGCACCCCGGACAGCGGGGACACATGGCAGATGGAGGAGGAGGGCGTTTCGTGTGGCCTCAGGTTTGGGGTGATGTAGGGGTTGGGGGGGTGCAGGGACCTATGTTCTGGGCAGCTCGGAGGACAGAGCCGTCCCGCACCAAAGTCCTCCCACACCTGGGACCTGGGGCCTGACACACGACGAGTCTCGGTCCGGTTACCCTGAGAAGCTTACGACATCTGAAATGGTTGTGCCAAGAAAGACACAGAACTTTCCAGAAAGCCCGAAGCAGGAGCCAGGGGCGGCCTGGCTTTGCCGGTGTGTGTGGAGGTGAAGGGGCCCTTGGTTCTGGGGCGAGGCCCCCGCCTGGGGGCAGAGCACAGTCGCTCTGTTCCCAGCGGCTGGTCTACGCTGTTCCATGCTCCCTTCCCTCAGGTCTGGGGCACGGGCACGGCTGGCTGCCACGCACAGGGCACTGGCCAGGTCCCGGCCTTGCCGCTGGACCCCGGAGGGCCTGGCGGCCAGGCGGCCCTCGGGCCCCACACAGCGCCCATCCCAGGGCTGCCCCCATGCAGGCCCCACGCCGGCGGCGGTGGGCAGGGGCTCTGGACCCCCGCTCCCCCCAAGCCTGACTGCAACGGACCCTCACTGCACCCTCTGCGCATGGCACCGGCAGAGCCCGGTGACGGCACGGGAGCCCGGCACCTCCGACCGGGAGAGGCCCCGGGTGCCTGGCCGTGCCCCCCCCCCGCCTGGGCCCCGGGACGGGGGTCTGCCGCTAACTCCGTTTGTACTCAGGGCAGGAATAGCTCTCTGGACCCTAGCAGGGACAGAGAGGCCACTGGGGTGCGTGGGCCTCGCTGGACGTCACGCAGTGTGGAGGCTTAGTGAGGGCCACCGGGAGCGGGGGCCAGCTCGCCGGGGAGCTCGGGCCTCCGGGGGGACGGGGCGCCAGCCTGGCCCCGGCCCCGACCTCTGCGGTCTGGGGCAGGTGGAGCTCGGGGCCTCCCTGCTCCCCCAGAGCCGGGCGGAGGGGGACAGCCCTGGGTCCTCACCCACCTTGATGAAGATGGCCTCCAGGCTGGTGTTGCCCCCCTGCGGCTGGGAGCAGCCGTCCTGCTCGCTGGCCAGGTTGATGCCCGTGGCACAGTGCAGCTCCTCCAGCTGGCTGTGGCAGCACTGCTCCTGGGTTATCCTGTGGGCAGGGCAGGGGCGAGCGGGGTGAGCGCAGGGGCGGGGGCGGGGCTGCGAGCCCAGGCAAGCCAGGGCCCTGGGTTTGGGGCTACCGCACAGGTGCACCAGGAGCACGGGGCTCATGGGAACAAACCAGTCGCAGCAGGATGAGTCCTGTGGGGTTCCACTGACGTGAGGTCCCTGGAGGGGTCAGACTCGTGGGTGCTGAGGGGAGGGAGAGGGGAGGGGGAGAGGGGGAACGGAGGGGGTGGGGTTCTGGCATGGACGTGAGGTAATGCTGTGCGGAGCTGGCCACAGCGATTCTGTTTTTTACTTTATTTTACGTTGTGTGCTGGCGCCGAGGCCTGAGCGTTCAAGGCCAGCACTCCACCACGCAGGCCGCACACAAGTTCATGTTCCACGCGCATCGGATGCATATCGTAGCTGATAAAGTTCACCGTGTGAAAGTTGAGCTACATAACTTGAGGGTAGGAAGGGGATGGGGAAAGATTGGTGGGAAGGATGGAAGGAGTGACTTTAACCAAGATGCATCATACTCCTAATCAGACTGGTAAAATTATAACCCCTTTGCACAACTACTTAAAATAAAAAAGAAATCATTACAAAGCACTTGCTGCCGCCCTACTGTGTGCTGGCTGGGTATGGAGGCCCTCGGGGAACAGGCAAACACCCAGGGGGGCTCTCCTCCCCTTGGGTCCTCCTGGAGGGGAACAGGAGAGGCCCTGCCCTGAGGGGAGGAGCCTGGGGCTGAGTGACAGGAGAGCTCTCCAATCCCTGCTCCACAGCCCCCCCACGCACACTCATAGCCCTGCCGACAGGGACGGCACTCCAGCTTGGGCAGCAGGGTCCGCCCCTGCTGGACTGGGCAAAGCCACGCAGACACGCACACTGCCCGGATGTCACACCGGTCCTGAGACCACGGGGACAACAGTGCCCTGGAGGCAGAGAAGCCCCACTCAGTGTCAGGGCCGGACCGGGCTCCCATTGTTGTGATAGCCTCGCCCCATCTCTCTCTCTCTCTCTCTCTCTCTCTCTCACACACACACACACACACACACACAGAGACACACAGAGACACAGATACACACACACAGATACACACACACACACACCTCTGCCCATCACACACACACACACACCTCTGCCCATCACACAGACACACACACACACACACCTCTGCCCATCATACACACACACACACAGACACACACACCTCTGCCCATCACACACACACAGACACACACCCGCCTCCGCCCATCACACACACATGCACACACACACACAGACACACACAGACACACACACGCCTCCGCCCATCACACACACACACACGCATGCACGTGTACACACACACAGCATAGCTTCCGCCCATCACACACACACATACACACAGAGACACACACAGAGACACACACACACCTCTGCCCATCACACACACACACACACACACACCTTGTCCTTGCCACACAGACACACACACACACCTCCTCACACACACACACACACACACACACACCTCCTCCCATCACACAGACACACACACACACACCTCCTCACACACACACACACACACACAGCTCGTCCTTGCCTATGTGCGGCTGGCCCAGGGGAGTTAGTGGTTGGAACAGGATGCGGCAGAGTCATCCCGTGAGCCGTGGCCAGAAGGACGCTGGCCCAGCTCTGGTGGCCCACCCCCTCTCTGTTGCTCCCTGTGGGGGGGGCCTTGGGCAGATCCAGGGGACTACTGGTGGTCTCCCCCAAACATGTGAATAGCCTGGAGGCCCTGGGAGGGAAGAGAGCGCAGAGCGGCAAGGCGGTGGCACTGGCCACTGGTTCCCAAGAATCGCAAAGGCTCCATGGAACCCCATTTAAAAATCAAGGAACCAGGGCTGGGAAGGTGGCTCAGTGGTAGAGCGCTTGCCTTGCATGCTCGAGGCCCTGGGTTCGATTCCTCAGCACCACATAAGCAAAAAGAAAAAAGCCTCAAGTGGTAGAGCGCTAGCCTTGAGCTGAAGAGCTGAGGGACAGCGCCCAGGCCCAGAGTTCAGGCCCCACGACCGGACCCAAAAAAAAAAAAAAAAATCAAGGAACCAGCCGGTGCCGGTGGCTCACGCCTGTCATCCCAGCTACTCAGGAGGCTGAGATCTCAGGATCGCAGTTCAAAGCCAGCCTGGGCAGGAAAGTCCCTGAGACTCTTATCTCCAATAAACCACCAGAAAACCAGAAGTGGCGCTGTGGCTCAAGTGCCTTGAGCTGAAGAGCACAGGGACAGTGCCCAGGCCCAGAGTTCAAGCCCCATGACTGACAGGAAAAAAAAAAAAAAAGAGTCTAAGCCCTGGCTGGCTTTGAGCCATGATCCTCACATCTCAGCCTTTGGAGTGGCTAGGATTACAGGTGCGAGCCACCACTGCCTGCCTGCTTTGTTTTTGTTTTGTAGGTCATGGGGCTTGAACTGGGGGCCTGGGTGTTATCCTTCAGCTCAAGGTAAGCGCTCTACCACTTGAGCCACAGCACCACTTCTGGTTTTCTGGTGGTTTATTGGAAATAAGAGTCTCAGGGACTTTCTTCCTGGGCTGGCTTTGAACCGCAATCCTCAGATTTCAGCCTCCTGAGTAGCTGGGATGACAGGCGTGAGCCACCAGCACCCCACTGCTTAAACTCTTAATTAACCACCAAAAAGCCAGAAGTAGACTGTGGTTCAAGTGGTAGAGCACTAGCCTTGAGCAAAAAAGTTAACTGACAGAGCCCAGGCCCCCAGTTCAAGCCCCAGGACCAGTGTGAACATATGTATACACATGCACGCACGTGTGCATGCACACACATGCACACCAGCCAGTCTTCAGGAACCGTCTGGGCATGATTTATGAGGCTGAAAGCATGCACTCACCTGTCCCACATGCTCTCTTGGGGTGGAAGTCCCAGGGGAGAGGGGCGCTGGCCACACAGGGACCCCAGGGTGCCAGGCTGGCCCACTGCCCCCAGTCCCTGGGCTTCGCATGCAGCCTTGGCACCCAGCCCTCTGACCGCCCCCCCCCTGGCCCAGACCCTCCCTAATACTGCTACCTTACCCATCTGGGTCTCCAGGGGTGCAATGTAGCAGCCCCCAGCCCCCCGGGACCCAGACTCCTCTCGGTAGCACCCATTTCTCACGCAGACGCACCATCTCTTTGGCTGCCCAGAGCACAGCTGTGGAGCAGGCCCTGATCTTGCTGGGGACCCGCTCCGCTCCAGCAGTGATAGCCTGGCACCCGCCTCACAGGCCTCTTCCGCCTCCACAGGCTCCCGCGGCTCCGACCACCCACGGCTCCCCTTGGCTCCTCAACTGCCAATGACTCCCTCCCTCACACAGCCCTGCACAGCCCCCCCACCCTGCCACAGCCCCTCAGCCCACACCAGGGCCGCAGGGCTGGACAAGCAGCCCCCACCAGCCCCCTCACCCCGCCGCAGCCCCTCAGCCCACTCCAGATCAGCCTCCACCAGGGCCGCAGGGCTGGACAAGCGGCCCCCACCAGCCCCCTCACCCCGTCCCGCCTCCCTGGCCCCGCATTGCTCCCTGGTCAATCCGCACAGCCTCTGAGCCTTCCTACTGGCTGTTCTACCCTCTACCCCGCAGCCGCAGCACCAAGGAACAGCACGCATTGTACGCGGGACGCTTTGCTCCTGGCTGGCAGGAAGGGATTCAGATCCTGACATCCCTGCTGGCCAGCTGTGTACACGAGGAAAGCCCCATTTCCTCATCTGAAGACAGGACCCAAAACAAGGTGAAATGTGATCATGTGTGTCCAACGCAGAGTGCAGCGTAGGTGCCTCATAAAGGATCATTGTGTGTGTGTGCACACACGCGTGTACACGCTGCCCCTGGAACTTGAACTCAGCAGCTCCCGGGGGCTGAGCTGTCCCTCAGCTTTTTCACTCAATGCTAGCAATCTACCACTTGAACCACAGCCCCACTCCTGTCTTTTGCTGGTTAATTGGAGATAGAGTCTCATGGGCTTTCCTGCCCAGGCTGCCTTCACACAATGATCCTGAGATCTCAGCCTCTTGAGTAGCTAGAATTACAAGCATGATCACCAGCACCCAGCCAGCCTGCTTTCTTCGAGGGAAGCTGACTTGTCCACAATGGCAGAGCTGGGACAGACTGGGTTGCAAACCAGATCTTATTTCCAGCCCAGTGAAGGGGACAGAGGCCCGGGGCAGAGTCCCATCCTGTGAGGTTCTTGGGAGCACAGAGGCCAGAGCAGCAGACGGAGGGTGTGCGGTGAGCAACGTACCTGCACTCCTTCGAATCCGAGGAGTACGTCAGTGAGCAGTCCCTGTGCTGGGTGGCCATTCGCTGTCCATCTGCGCAGCAGGTTTCCAAAGGGATGTCAGCACCCACTGCGAAGGGGAGAGAACCCGCCGATGAGTGTCCATCGCCCTGTAAGCCCGACCCAGCGGCAGGCCAGCCTTCTGGCCCTCAGCAAACCGGCACTGGGACGCCCTCGCTGCTCCTCCCAGGAAGGCCTGAGCCGCTCCAACAGGGCCGGCTCAGCACTACAGGAGTGCCTGCTTCCTCTGGACACACACTGTAGCTGAAGATGGGGTGTGTGCTCCATGATCCAGGTAAGAAGGCAGGCTGTGCTGACGCCACCCCGGCCATGGCTTGCCAGCCCAACTCCTGTCCACTGGAGATGCTCAAAAATGGAGGCCAAGCCAGGAGGGAGAGAGACCTGCAGCTTCCCTAGAGACAGACCCGGGCCTCCGTCTCAGGCACCGTGGACCTCGGCCGCAGGAGGCGGGGAGGATGCTGCCGGGCAGGGGCGCACTGCATCCTTAGTGGGGTCACCTCGGTCAGGACCTGCTCAGGGGGCCGCTCTGCAGCTGGCGGGGAGGAAGACCCACTGTGCCCTGGGGCACAACCCTTCCCAGGGGCTCGCAGGACGGCAGGGGGCGGGGCTCTCCGGGGCTCTCTGGAAGGCTCTGCAGTGCCCAGCGGGGCGGGGGCGGGGGCGGGGGGGGTGTCCCTGCAGGGGTGGGAGCGTGTGTGTCTGAGCCGCGACTCGACTCTCCCCGGGCTGGCCCTCGGGGAGGGGCACAGGGGAGAGTGCTCTTCGTAAGCTCCAGGCCTCCTCAAGCACCTCCAGAAGGGGAGAAGAAGCTTCCAGAATCATTCAGGATGGGGAGGGCCAGTGCTGACGGCCAGGAGGAGAGGGGAGCCTCATGTGGCCCGACTTCTCCTTAATGACTAGTTCAGGCCTTCCCTTTTCCCTGGGGAACCCCAAGCTACTTTCTGCGGTGGAAGATGGGCCTACCCGGTTCTTCCAGGCACAGGCAGGTGTCCCCCAGGAGGCCGGGGGCTGGTCCTCGACCCAGACCCGCAGCCCGCCCGCCTCACAGCCAGGGGGTGCTGTCTGCTGAGCAAGATGGAGCTCAGACGGAACCGTCTTAACCACGGGCTTCCAAGCCTGCGTGTCATCGTCACGGGCGGGCGGCACGTTATTATGGGCTAAATGAATTTTCCATTCACTCAGTCATTGGTGCATTCATTCACCCATTTGTCCATTTATTCGCTCGTTCCAGAAGAGCATGAGGGCTGTCCCAGGCAGCAGCGGGCCAGGGAGCGGATCTGACGGTGAGGATGGCCGCTGAACCCCTCAGAGGTACAGGGAAGCTGGACAGATGCCGGAAACGACCCGAGAAGACAAACACCTCCCCCGTTCCCATTTATCTCCTGAGAAAGTGCTCACGGGACACGTGTCCGTGTCTGTTCCACACAGGACACCTGTGGTTCGGTCCCCAGATGACGGCGGCGTGGTCCGACACCTTGGCCGCTTTCTCCATGCCAACTTCAACCCACACTGCAGCTCCGCCGCCCCCAGGAGCAGGGGGAGCTGTGGCCAGTCCTGGAGTCCAGACCCCCCCAGAGGAGCCCCAGCCTCCTGCAAGCGGATGCGGCTGGACCTGGGGCTCAGTGCCCAGAGCTGCAGAGCACTGGGAAGGGAGCCTTGCTGGGGGTCAGGGGACTTTGAATTTATTCTCAGCAGGACAATCAGATGTTAACTTGGAATGAACCTGGAATGTGGCTCAAATGTTCTGAGCAGCAAGATCCAAGTCTGTGAGCTTGGGGTCTGTGCCCACCTTCCCGGGACTCCTCGGCTGTTCCAGTACTTTACTCGGAACCCAGGAGGAGCTGGCAAGGGGCTGTGGCCAGGTTGGACTGTGAGGACCCAGGGAGGACATCCCTGACCAACCCTAACCCGCGAAGCCCTGACTTCACCAGCCCCTGCACGGGAGGCCCGGTCCACGCGCCAGCTCCCAGCCCCCAGCCTCTGAAGTCCACCCAGCTCTCCAGAGCCTTGAAAACCACACGCATGTGCGTGTGGAGGAGGAGCGGTACCACTTCCTACCCCACGTCCCCAGCCTGGGCCACAGATGGCGTCCACTTCTCACCATTGGGAAGAGCAAGCAGCCCTGGGCGGAAGGCAGATCACAAACTGCACTGCTTCAGGCAGAGCGCCGGCGGAGAGCCGCACGCCCAGGGCCGGAGGACACGCGTCCCCCGTGGAAGTGTGGCCCACAACACACCTGCAGAAGGTATAAAACCAGGCAACCTGCCTCCAGCCCCCAGCCCGCACACAGCGCCAGGAGAGTGACGCGGGTCCCAAGGCCTCCACAGCTGCTTCCGTCCCCCATTCTCCAACACTGCGTGGTAAATCCCCTCTGGACGGCCACCCAAGGCCCCCCGCCCTCCCTGCCCTTTGCTGCCCCGTGCTGCCCCACGGCCCCCCAAGGCCCCCCGCCCTCCCTGCCCTTTGCTGCCCCGGGCCCTCGGGACCCTGTGGAGTCTCCCACTCCTTTCCCTTTTTGGTCTGATGAGCACAAGCAGCGCCCTCTGCTGGCTGACAGTTCAAAGGCAGCTCCAGCAGAAAAGTTCATGAGACTCTTATCTCCACTTAACCACCAGAAAAAGCCAGAAGTGGAGCTGTGGCTCAAATGGTAGAGTGCTTCCCTTGAGCCAAAAAGCTCAGGGACAGCGTCCAGGCCCTGAGTTCAAGGCCCAGGACCGGCACAAGCGAAACAGAACAAGCCCCGCCCATCCATCATGATATTGCCTCTGGCTCTTGTCATCCAGTGGGGAATCTAAGAGACATAAAATGTGGTCTACGCTCCTGTAAAACGCAGCTAGCCTTCAACCACACGTTTCCATGGAAGACAGCCTTAATAGGTGCTATAGTACACACCTGTAGTCTCGGCTACTTCGAATGCTGAGGCAAGAGGCTCATCTGCTGGGGAGCGGCTAGCCCTGAGCCACGGGGAGGTCAAAGGGGAGCCTAAGATGGAGGACAGGATCCTGAGCTGTTCAAGGAGAGATGTGTCATTAAGACTCCCTCAGCCCCTGCAGGCTGGGCCTCGGGGCAGCAATGTCGCTCGGCAAGTCCTCAAACACCAGTCCACGGAAACTATTACTGCACAAATCAGCCCGAAGCGGCAGAAAAGCCTGCCATCCCTGCCTTCATGTTCAAATTGCCTTTGCTCTACGCCATTCTCTCTGGGCCACTTTGCCATCAGCCTGGGTTCCAAGAAAGACAGAGCTGACAAATGATAACATCTTTATGGGGAGACTGAAACGTCTAAAAAACAGCAAAGCCTGGCGGGCAGACCGCCCCAAATGAGGATAATTAGCTGTAATGACTGGGCTGCACCTGGCGGCTGGGGAAATCCTGAAACCCTCTCGTGGGAACCAGATCCCTCCCTTCAAGAGATAACAGGCCTCACCTGAAGACAGGCCTCAACTGACGAGGCTCACCTCATTCCCCCCCTGCCCTGTCCTCTAAATACACCGAACCCTCTGGTCTGGACCTGGAAGACAGCTAAAGATGAATGCAAATGCCATCTTCATGAGGCTCTGGGCACACTACCATAGTTCTAATCGACTTTCCAATCACGATGTTTGCAGCTGGCGAGGACTCCCCCTTAGCCAGGCACAAGCACCATTAGCTGTGCTGGCCCAGGACTTGAGACCAGAGGCCTGGCTTGGGAAAGCTAACCTAGTGAGGTTCCATCTCAAAACAAACAAAAACGCTCCGACACTAGCTGAGCTGGAACCACTACATCAACACCAACACCTCCCAAAGCTGGGCAAAAGGGAGACAGTCCCCCCAAAGAAAGAACAGAAGGTATTCCCCAGAGGAAGTGGAGGAACCCCATCCCCAGGATGACAGACAGCCCGCACCCCACCCCAGGGGTGCGTGTGTACACACACACACACACACACACACACACACAGCACTCTGCTGTGTACGTGAATAGACAGCGTGGCTCCAGGGCCTCAGACACCATGTATAACCTGAGACAGCAGCTCAAACTCCCATTTCTCCAGGTGAATTCAACCTTTGCAAAGGGGCAGGGCTGGCCTGTGGGTGGGGCCGGAGTGTGGACCCGGGATGGCTGCCCGAGGCTGCTCTGGGTCTCAGGCCTGAAGCCGCTCTCGGATAGCAAACAGACCCCGCCCTTGAGGTAAATGGAGAACATGGACGCGTGTCTGCGTTTCTTTTTTTGTGTGCCAGTCCGAGGGCTTGAACTCGGGGCCTTGCACTCTTGTTTGGCTTTCACACAACCGGCCCTCTACCTCTCACGCCAGGGTTAGGGAATGGAGGAGGAAAGAAAGGAACAGGCCCGACTCTCCATCTTGACAGGCAATGGGCAACAAACCTTGCCATGGGAGTGGAGGTTGTGCAGGGAGGTGGGCTTGGAGCTGGGCCTTTGTGGGGTCTGAGCAAGGAGACCGAGGTTGGCATTGGGGCTGGAGAGGCGGGGACATCCGGTTGGGCCCACGATGGAGTGTGGACGGCCAGGCTGGAGTGGGCTGTCCTGCCCGGCCGTGAAGCACGTCCACACACAGCTGGGGCTTGGCCTGGGCTGAGGGGGCGGGGGGCGGGGGGCGGGGGCAGTGCTTCAGCTATACCTCCCCTCCCAGCCTGTGGGCTGGCTAGAGATAAGAGGCTCATGCACTATTCTGCTCAGGCTGGCTTTGAACCAGGATCTTCAGATCTGAGCTCCTCAGCTGGGATGGCAGGTGTGCACCACCAGCACCCAGCTCCACATGGCCTTTCTGCAGCTGGAAGGGATCGGTGCGACCGTGGAGGTTAAAGATCCTCTTACACCGCAGGAGCTCTGGGGATGCCCAGAGAGGCCTGCGGAGCTCTGGGGATCCCTGAGCGGCCTGCGGAGCTCTGGGGATCCCTGAGCGGCCTGCGGAGCTCTGGGGACCCCTGAGCGGCCTGCGGAGCTCTGGGGATGCCCAGAGAGGCCTGCGGAGCTCTGGGGACCCCTGAGCGGCCTGCGGAGCTCTGGGGATCCCTGAGCAGCCTGGGCACTGCTAGCACCCAACA